TTTACACATGGGTCAGTAGAGAAATTCACTCACGTGTCTACACATAGGTCAGTAGAGAAATCCACCATGTGTCTACACATAGGTCAGTAGACACGTGTTTTTCTTCACTCTGTCAACCAGGAGCACCTAACAGAAATGAGACTGCAGCACAGTAGCTTGGTTTCTAGGCAACTGCTCTACCCCTGAGCTCTCTCTCATCCAGGGAAACTTGGAGAGATGGTCTGTTCTTGGAGAGAAGAATGAACGAACCAACAACAAACCACCTACACATTCAAAGGGGGAAGCACAGGTCAGCTGAAAGAACAATCTGGAACAATTCTTGCCAAAGGAATTCTTCCATTCCTAACATTTTGGGTTTAAAAATTGTTTTAATTTGACTCCTCTCTATTTTGAGAAATAAATAAATCAATGTGGGCTAAAATAAATATCCACAAATTGGTACTGACATAAATGATTGGTCTGTTTTGTGTATGAGGATGGGCTGCACCCATCATTGAGAGGGAAGAGACACATCTACAAATAAAATTCTGGAACATTTTGGAGGCCATCAGCTTAAAGGAAGAGGGAAAGTCTCTTTATACTACTTCAGGGTGGAATGTGCACAGTAACTTTCCTTCAGAGACTGCAGAAAAGGCAGGGAACACACGATCTCAGTCAGAGGACCAGGATCATATCATACCATGACAATATGGAATCCCATTTTTGTGATTCTCTTCCCATATACCCACAAATCTGATCTCATAATAAAGAAAACCTCAGATTCCAACAGTGAGTGTCCTGCAGTATACTTGATCATGATCCCTCAAGACCTCCAGAGTCATCCAAGTCCAGGACCATCTGAGAAACTGGCTCCAAAGGGAGCTTTCAAAGATGTAATGACCAAAGTCCAACATGACAAAATGGCTGCCTACAGAATGGGAAAATATCTTCACTAACCCCACATATCAGACAGAGGGATGATCTCCAAAATATACAAAGAACTCAAGAAATTGGTCATCAAAAGAACAAATAATTCAATAAAAAACATGGGGTATAGACCTAAATAGAAAACTCTCAACAGATGAATCTAAAATGGGTAAAAGACACCTAAGGAAGTGCTCAACATCCTTAGCCATCAGAAAAATGCAAATCAAAACAACTCTGAGATTCCATCTTATACCTGTAAGAACGGCCAAGATCAAAAACACTGATAATAACTTATGCTGGAGAGAATGTGGGGGTAAAAGTAACACTCCTGCATTGCTGGTGGGAATGCAAGCTGGTACAACCCTTTTGGATGTCAGTGTGGTGATTTCTCAGAAAATTAGGAAACAACCTTCCTCAAGACCCAGCGATATCACTTTTGGATATATACCCAAAGGATGCTCAATCATACCACAAGGACATGTGCTCAACTGTTCATAGCAGCATTGTTTGTCATAGCCAGAACCTGGAAACAACCTATATGCTCCTTGATCTAATAATGGATAAGGAAAATGTGGTACATTTACACAATGGAGTACTACACAGCAGAAAAAAAATAATGACATCTTGAAATCTGAGGGCAAATGGATGAATCTAAAAAACATCATATTGAGTGAGGTAACCCAGAAAGACAAATATAATATGTACTCACTCATATGTGGCTTTTAGACACAAAGCAAAGAAAACCAGCCTACAGTTCACAATCCCAGAGAACATAGACAATAAAGAGGACTCTAAGAGAGGCATACATGGATCTAATCTACATGGGAAGTAGAAAGAAATAAGATCTCCTGAGTAAATTGGGATCATGGGGATTATGGGAGAGTAGAAGGGGTGGGGAGGGGAAAGGAGGGAAGCAGAGAAAAATATATAGCTCAATAAAAACAATAAAAAAGATGTAATGACCAAAGTGATGAATCCTGGAATAGGACATAGGGCTTGTGAGAATTATAGGTAATAATGCCATTTCTAGTGGGCTCTTAACACAGCCAGGGCTTCACAATAATAGAAGACATTAACAACAGGGAAACAGTAGAACCCATGGGAACTCTTGGTATTATCTTCTTAAGCTTTTCTGTAATTTAAAAATTGTTCTAAAAATAAAATATGTTCAGAGCATGGTGAACTCCAGAGGTTGGGTGAGGCGTGATGTACAAGGAGACAGAATTTCAGTTGGAAAGATGAGGACAGTCTGGAGATGGGCTTTGTGACAAATGCACATTTTAAAGATGGGCTAAGGGCTGGGAGAAGTGGTACATGCTTCCAATCCTAGCACATGGGAGTAGAGGCAGGCAGATCTCTCTGTCTCAGAACAAAACACAGCAGCAGCAGCAGCAACAACTGGCTAAGGCTAAGATGGACTTACGCAAAGACAACATACAAGTGGCCGACAGGTGTATGCAAAAGGGCTCCATGTCACCCACTCACCATTGGGAAACACAAACCAGACCTGTGAGACACCACTTCCTTCATAGGAAAGAGCAGTACTGAAGAAGAGGGGACAGACTCGAGTGCTGGTGAGGGTGTGGAGAACAGAGACCCCGGGGGGGGGTGTCAGTGAATTTAGCCTTGTGGCAATTAGTATGGAGTTTCCTCCAACCACTGAAACTGCTGTATGATTCAGCAATCCTACTAGCTACATCTTAAGAAATCAGAATGGGTATGTCATACACGTATCCACACTTACTCCCCGTGTTACTGAAGCATTGCTCTCGACAACAGGGAAATGGGAGCATACATGGCCTGTCTACAGGAAGCAGAACAGAAAACTCTATCTGTACACATGCGAGAAAATGATTCAGCCTGAAAAAGAACAAAGCCCTGTCACTTAAACAAGAAGAAGAGGATTCAGAGATCAATATGTTAAGTGAAATAAGTCAGGCACAGAGAGACAAATATCTCCTGGCCTCCAGTGGGGACTGCACTTGGAGATGGGTGCAGAGATGGTTATGAGACCAGAGAGAGGGAGTGGGGAGAGTGTTACTCACTGGGAACTGAGTCACAGGTAGACGGGGCAGGCAGCTCAGCTGAGCTACTATACCCACGTAGTAACTGTGCTCAAGACACTTACAAGGATGGAGCACTGCACCATGAGGAAATGCCAAGTGCAAGTAGGTAGCTGTGTGCAGCCTGGCTTAGATATTACATAGTGTGCATGGGGGCAACACCACAGGGTAACCCTTAACAGGTGCTACGTTCAGGTTTTTACACACCACTTAAACTTAGTTTTGAAAGGCACTGAGTTCAAATCCAGTCATTTCATCCATGTTAGATGAACAGTGGCAGCTATGTGACCAAAGCCTCAATTCTACACCAACACTGTGCCCTCCAGGAAGCCTCCCTGTCCTCAATGTCTGTAAGTATTCCCAAACTCTGAAAGTGGCATCCAAACACCGATGCTTTCCAAACAGGGTAGCGGTACCATCAGACATATTCATGCTAATATCAATAGGACCACCCTGAATGCTAGATGAAAATGGATGGACAGGGCCAGTTCAGAGCCAGGAGGGCTCCTTCAAGCGGGAAGTAATGAGACCTGGTCTGATGGTGGCAGAGCTTCAGCTTAGCCTTAGGAATGTACAGTCTCTGCGCTCAGCTCTGGGTCAGGCTTATCTGGGTCCTCTGTGTCACAAGCAGTTAGACCAGCAAGTATGGGGAGGGATGAGGGTGGTCTCACCTGAAGCAGCTTGTCTGTGCCTCCCACCATAGCATCCACCCCACCTTGAGTCAGGTGTAGCTGCCCCATCCCTCTTATGGGTGCTGTGCATGGAACCTCACCTCTCCCTGGGCAGGGGAGGAGACACATTCCTGTCAATGTACAGGAAGGACTTCCTGAAGCAGGATGTGGAGAATGCCACCAGCTTCTACAGCAGTGGGGTTCTGGTCCCAAAGCACCTCTATCTTTCTGCTGCACCGAGGGAGACTCACAGCATGCACAAGATGCCCAGATGACAAAGAGCAAGGTATGACATCCTCACCGTGGGAGATAAGAGGACCAGATGGCTGTGACAATTGTGATCCTCCTGGAAGCAGCTCTAGACACTGACTTGTGTTTTCGAGCCTGTTGCCTTCAGCTTTCGCTGCCCAGCCTAGCCAGCTCTAGCTTCTGTTCCCAGATCTAGTCCTACCAACCACACAGAGCAACAAAACACAGCTGATGTACCCTGGATCTCCCAGTCCCAGTCTTGGCCCTGGCTTCCTTGTCTTCTCATCAACATGCACATGCTTGCAGTCCCCCTTATCACAAGTGATGCTATCTCCTCTAACCCCAGCTTCAGGACACTCCATCCTCTGAACCTTCAGCCCATCATCTCTCACTAACCATTAGCCATGGTTGTTTGAATCCATGGTCCCTGCTCTGAGGGACTCAAGACCTGACTTACAGTCAATGTCCTCAGATTCCATTTTCTAATCGGTGTGGGTTCTCTGTGTATTTGCTGGAGCAGAACTGCCAAGCAATGTCTTGGCACACACACCACTATCATCCCCTTCTATGCCAGTGAAAGACATGACTAATGGATTGCTGAATCTTCCCATCAGCCTCTGACTCATTTTCAACACACAGCTCCAGTGGTAACAGCCTAGGGAATATGTGGATACAGATGATCATAAAAACTGCTCAGGTAGAGCTGGTGGTATGTGGAAGAGATCCAGACATCCTCAGCAGAAACCCGTGTCCCACAAACAGAACACATACCATCACAACCAGATGTGCACGCAGAGCTCAGGCACCCGGCAGACCAGTGATTCTGACTTTGGGGATATGAGGTGTTCCTAGGAGTGGAACATGTCACTTACTGAGACAGTGGACAGCGGCACTGTCTATCAAGTCTGCACACGTCCATAACCCTTCACAGCTTAAATGGAACCAGAGGCCCAAGGAGGAACACACAGGCCATGCAGCAAATGTCAGGCCAGAAACCAAGGCTCTTTGGAGAATCCTGGGAGACAGATAGTAGGGCAGCACAAGGCAGATGAGCAGAATGCAGCAGGACCCGGGGTCTCTACCCCAGAGAAGAAGCCTTGGCTGGACTCACCCCTTGCTCCATGCTTTCATTGGCACGGTCTGTCACTTTGGAGATGAGAGTCAGAGCGCCTGGGGAGCAAAGGACAGACAGAAGCTTTATGAGCGCTAGTCCAGCTTCCACAGCCCTTACCTCTCCTTTGGTTGTGTGCCTACTCCGTCTCCCCTGTGGTGGGCCGGGAAGGTAGAGTGGCACCAGTTTTTCCCACTTCAGCATCAGGGCACAAGCCTAACCACAGCCCTTTCGTGACTTCCTCAGTTTCCCTGGCTGCTGACTATATTACAGTGGGTCCACTCTGGTAGGGGCTGAGGCACCAGCCCTGGAAGAGGCATGGTGTGGTTAAGGGAGCAGTGAACATCTTAGAGCATCCTTCTTACATCACCCAACTCTCTGACTTTCTCTTCCTCTGCTGGACAGATTCCTTAGGCTTTCACAGCTAAGGATGGCAGAGGTCATCTCAAGAGACTTGAGGAGTCTTGGCAGATAACCCAGGTGTCATATGCAGAATGCACCTAGCTGGGCCTGCTCTATGTCTACACTGGACAATGGTGTAGACCTGAGGATTAATGGATAGGAGACAAGACAAGAAGGTATGGCTTCCTCCAGGGTCTCTCCAGACTTACTCTGAGTGTTGTCATACTCGGCTGAGTCCGGGCACAGATTGTTTAAATAATCTGGGGAGAGAGAGAGAGGGACAACAGTCAGTTCTGGCAGTAAAGTGGCCTTCTGTCCTCCACAGTGACCCCCCCTTCTCTAGAGATGGACAAGCTCCACAAGAATAGAGTGTCCACCTTCTCACCACGTCAGCCCACCCGAGACCAGGACCCTCTTAGCATCCTGACTGCCACCAGCAGCTACCCACTCATTCAACCCTTATCTAGCCATGATCTGGGATGGCTACCCCTCAGGGATACAGGCCCAAGAAAGTATTCACTGTCCGTTGCAAGGTTAGCAGCCCTGACAAGCTACACAGCACTATATGACAGTGGATCCACCCTAGCAGGGCCTGAGGCACCAGCCTAGGAGGGAGCAGGGTGTGGATAAGGGCGTAAAGGACATCTTTTTTTAAAATATTTATTTATTTATTATGTATACAATATTCTGTCTGTGTGTATGCCTGCAGGCCAGAAGAATGAGGCACCAGACCCGATTACAGATGGTTGTGAGCCACCATATGGTTGCTGGAAATTGAACTCAGGACCTTTGGAAGAGCAGGCAATGCTCTTAACCTCTGAGCCATCTCTCCAGCCCCCCCAAAGGGCATCTTAAAGCATCCTTCTTGGGTCACCTAACTCCATGACTTTCTCTTCCTCTGCTGGACAGAGCCCAGGCTCCCACAGCTAAAGATGGCAGAGGTCATCTCAAAGGACTTGATATCAGGTAGATATCCCAGGGCTATCATTTACAGAATGATAATAATAATAATAATGATACAGGCAGCTGGGCCTGCCCTGGGTCTGTATTACAGGGTGGGGGGATATCAGCCCTTGAGATGGTCCAAACTCCGCTACCTGCCTTCTGCTTTGCTCCTTGAAGTCTGGCCATATAGGCCGTCTTGCTGCCCCTTGAACATGTTCCTGCCCTAGGGCCCTTCTACTAGTAATCTCTTCTAGAGCTTCATACAGCTCATGCCATTTCTTTGCACACACCTTTGTTTTATGTCACCTTCCGGGAGAGGTCTTCTCTGCCAGATCTAACACATCAGCCCCATTTCCTAATCCTGTAACCTACTTGCTTTCTTAGGAGCATTCGCAACACAGATATTATGTAGTCACATATTTTAAAATATATTTGCATACTTAGATATAAAAGCATTGGGATGGACCCAGGGCCTGGCATATACTAAGCCCATGACTTGTCATAGTGTTCTATCTCTCCATTGTAACTGTCATTTGCTGCCATTGCCAGCATCCAGCACAGGTCTGGTACTTAGGCAGTGCTCAGTGGCTACTTGCTGAATCGAATGAGTAAATTATTTAGACTGCAACCCCAGCACAATTTCCTTGTGACCCCTCAAAGTGCATGTGCCCTACCCTGCAAGGGAGTAAAAGAGACACTCATGGGAGGCTCAGAAACAGGATAGGGCCTGCGTCTATGTGGGAGGCTGTGGCCAGTGAGCATGGAGCTCGGCACAGAGGCAGGCGTGTCTGCAAGGTAGAGAGGGAAGGGAAGATGGGGGCTTAGGCCTAGGCCCTGTGGGGTAGTTTGAATAAGAATAAGAAAGCCCCACATAGGCTTGTATGTGTGAGTGCTCAGTCACCAGTGAGTAGCACTATTTGAGAAGCATTAGAAAGATTAGGAGGTGTGACCTTGTTGGAGGAAATGTGTTGTTGGACGTGGGCTTTAAGGGTTCAAAAGTGTACACAAGGTCAAGTATCTATCTGTCTGTCTGTCTGCCTGCCTGCCTCCCTGAAGATCAGTATCTCACTTTCAGTGACTCCATCACCACCCCTGCCATGCTTGTCCCATACTCCCTGCAATAATGACAATGAGTTGACCCTCTGAACTGTAAGCCAGTCCCCAACTAAATGCTTCCTCTTATAAGAGGTGCTTGGTCATGGTGTCTCTTCGCAGCAACGGAACAGTGGCGAAGTCACACTGGTAAACTGAAGAGGAGAGACAGCCAGAGTGGCCAAAGGGCAGAAGTTGGGAGGAAGGCTGGCCAGCACCTTGCAGAGCTGAGAGGGCCAGGCCTCAAGAGGTAACACACAGCAAAGCCACCGGATGGCAGCGGGCCCGAGGTGGAAAATGTCCACTATTCTCACCATGACGGGGCCTAGGAAGGCAGCTTTTGCAAGACGTAGCTGAGTTAGAAAATGCGCAGTGAGAGTCTCACCAGGTTTCTGGGTTTGGGGGCCAGGAAGAGCCACTGAAGCAAGGCTTCCAAGGTGGCAGGAGGGACTCTGCCACCTCTGCCACCTCTGGTGGCAGTGTGTGTGACTCTGTGTGACCCTGGGGGGCTGGAGCTGTGCCGTCTTTCCTACACCTGCTAAGCTGCAAGAAGGTCTTATTCCCATGGTGCTCCACCTCAGTCCCCCTGCACTCTAACAACTCACCAGTGAGCAACACTTGGTACTGGAAGAGGCGCTGGACTACACGCAGCATCCGATGCTTCATGCTCTGGCCGCCCCCTTGGGAACTCTGCTGCTTTGAAGAGTGGAGGAGAGATGCCATTAGAGACCCACAGACACACATCACCCCGCTTCTGACCAATGCAATCCCCCACATTGTCAGACCCAGGCTGTCTTCTACAGGAAGCCCTCTTGGATCATCCTGGCAGGTTCACGGTCATTCTCGGTAACTCAGTTCTCTGGGGTCCTATTCTGCCCCAACATTAGTATCAGGGATAAGCTACCCTTTGCAGGAGCTAGCCTTCCTGTTTGTGACCAGTGCTGGCCATTTCTGTGGTTGCCCTTTGGCTGGGCCCCTGCTTGGTTCATAGAAATGGGAGAACTAACTCTAAGATTCTTCCTGTGACCTCACCACCCATTGCCCAATAGGGGTCATTCAGTCCTGGGTTCCCCTCCTCCGAGTCCCCACCAGGTCTCCCGATGTGCTGCCCAGATTGGTCCTTCTATATGTCTCATTTACTTCTCTTAAGTCTTTTCATGTCCCCCTGTCTGGGCCCCACAATATCCTTACAGCAGGGTCTCTAAAGACCTGGGAACCCACCTCAAATTCCCGGACGGTGGTGGCCAGCCGGGGTGAGAGCAGGCAACTCTCAGCGAGCAGCCCCAGGTACCTGTCAAACTGCAGGATGTGTGCGGCATGGTGTTCAAATTCCTGCTCGCGGACCAGGAAGATGTCGGCCACCTGCGGCTGTTGGCCCTCCCCATTGCTAGGGAGAGGACAGACAGTGAAAAGTCAGCCTGTGGACCAACAAAGGGTGACAGGAGGGTTTCTGGGGGCTGCTTTGCTTGGGGGTACACAACTTACCACCTCTCCAGAAGACAGCATTTTGTATTTGTGGAGATTTCTGTCCGCCCCCACCCCAGGTGGCATAAGTGGGGTATGGGACCCCAGGCTGCTCACCAATCCCCCAGCCTCTGCTCCAGGTTCTCCAGGATGCCCTGGTGAAGGTCACAGATAGCCGGAAGTTCCCGCAGGCCCTGCCGCAGCTCCTCTTGGGCCAGTGGCTCTCTGCCCTCTTGCTCTATGTTCTCCAAGGCCCTCAAGACAGCTCCGTGGAAATCCTGCAACCCCAGAGGCCTGTTACGTACTGCATCAGGCAGGGAGGGCCCTTGAGGCTCCAGAGCCCTGGTGGCTGCAAGAACTGAGGCCAGTCACTGCCATTGGCTCCACACTGTCACCTGTGGACCAGGAAGACCATCTCATACCCACTTGCTACAGGGCTGTCTTCACCCTTGCTCACACAGCAGTGTCACTGTGGTGACTTGGCCAGGACCCTTTGTTTACAAGATAGGGAATCAGCTGGTGATTCCTTCGCTAAGGAAATGGCAAAGTCCTTGGTTTCTAGTTCTCTATCTTGGAAGAAGCTCAAGTGCTATGTTGTTTCAAAAAAGAGCTTTAAAAAGCCCCAGCAGGACCAGTGAGATGGCTTAGTGAGTTAAGACACTTGCTGTCAAACAGGGAGAGTTCAACTCCTAACACCCACAGACTGGAAGAAGAAAACTGACTCCCGCAAGTTGTCCTCTGACCTCCACATGTGCACAGTGATATCAGTGTATAAAAACACACACACGCTCACACACAGAGTCACACGCTCTCTCTCACACACATATACAAAAGTATCATTTTAAAATAAAAGACACAGTAGATGAGAAGTTCAAGGTCATTCTGGGCTACACAGAGTTTGAGGTCAGGCTAGACTACATGGGACCCGTGCCCCACGTACACACACTAAAAGGAAAAGTCACAGCAGGTGTCTGTGACCCCAAAGTTCAAGAGACCAAAGCAGAAGCTCATAAAGGCCAAAGAGGAGTTTGTGTAAGGGCACGTGTGCACAGTCCTACAAACTTCTCCTCTTGTCTCTTCCAAGGTAAGAAGGAGCCTGACACCCACCGTTGCCATTTTCTTTCTTTAGCTTGTGTACAGACATCAGCTCACAGCCTCAGAAGAAAGAGGGAACAGAGGGAAACTCATAACTTTTCTCATTATTTTAGCATTAGCAATTGCTATTGCCCACTGGGTATGATTTGAGGACCAAGCATTGTCACCTGTTCTAGTTTACTTTCTATTACTGTGACAAAACCATGACCCAAAGCAACCTGGGAAGGAAAGGGTTTCTTTCAACTTGCAGCTCACTGTCCATCATCGCGGAAAGTTAGGGCAGGAACTAGGAAGCAGGAGCTGATGCAGAGGCCATGGAGGAGTGCTGCTTACTAATGTGCTCCTCATGGCTTGCTCAGACTGCTTCCTTATACAACCCCAACCACCTGCCCAGGGGCGGCACGTCCCATAGCGGGCTGGCACAGCGGGCTGGGTCCTCTCCCATCAACCATTAATCAAGACAATGCCTATGCTAATCTGAAGGAGGCAATTCCTCAATTGAGGGTTTGTCTTCCCAGGTGTGTTAAGTTGGCAACTGATGCTAACTATGATATTATGGGGGCACAAGTACAGGAACAAGCAGCGTGTATAGGATTGGTGCCCTGTAGGGTTTCAGGCATCCACTGGGGGCTTGGAAGGTGTCCCTACAGACTGGAAAACCCCACAGTTATGACACTTCAGATGATTTGTGTTTAGTGTGTGGGCCCACACACGGTTTGTTGTCTGCTGTCTCTGGAGCCCAGAGGCACCTTCAGTGTGAGAGGAGCTTCATTCCCTTTGGGGAACCACACAACTGCTAGTTGGCAGGAGTGGAGCCTGAGTCTGGGGAAGTCAAGATCGGGATCCTGTCACTGTGAGGCTCACACCCAAAGCACCACATAGCCCAGACAAAGAGAGGGGGCACAAGGAGAGAATGGCTGGAGAGCAAAGAGGGAAGGAGAGAAAGGAAAACAGCAAGGGCAGACAGACAGTGGCATGCATAGCGTCCTCTGGGGAGCTTCAGTGTTAACAGCTCCGTAAATCCTTTCCTGCACGGTAATTAATTCTCACTGGCTCAGTCCCCGTAGGCACAGAAGCCACCTGCAGGACAAGATGGCCATCTACAGGACAGAACAGCTATCAGCAAGACAATCACAATCCACTCTCACATTTGTTCTTAATGGAACCATGGAGTGCCGACTGCACTGGATATCTCCTGTGGAAAGGATTCTGCTGCCTCTATCACTGGGCAAAACCACAGGGTTTCAGTATCCATCCCCAGGGAGGAAGGCATACCAGAAACCTCATCTTAGGCATTCCAGCAAACATTCCGTTATACATTCTGAGTGCTTGATCCACAGCAAACCCCAAGGACAGAGAGTAGTGGAGACACGTAGTTCTGCCCACCAAAATATTGTGATTAAAAAAAAAACCGACAAGGAGACATGTATGACATGGGCCAGAATGGGGACCTAGGGCAAGTCAGAAGTGGGGAATCCAGCTTGGTGAAGGCTGGCGGGGACGCCATGCCTCCATGGAGACCAGAAGGGCAGTGCTGATGGGAGAGCAGCACAGCATCTGAGAGATTGAAGATGGTCTTAGTCATGAGAGTTCATGAGGATGAGCATGTGCATGTGAGTCGTCTGTGTGTGCATGTATGTTCATGTCAAAGTACAGAGTGCTGGAATGGAATGCGGCTTTAGGGATAGACCAGGGCCACTCCACTCCCTTAGTATATGTATTGTGGAGTCCCAACTCCAACCTGCAGGACTCCCTAAGTCAAAGCCTAGAGATGCTCACACCCGTATCTACCCACAGAGGCACTTCTGTATGACCTCAGATGACCCCCTGCTTCTCTGGACTCCAAAGTGGAGACACAAACACTGTTTCCTGTCTCCCACCAGCACCTCCAGCACCCAACTAAGGAAGGTTCTTGGAGATAATAACGGGGACATTTACCGAGCATACATACCAAGAATCATGTGCCTCACATTTCATACCTCCCTTCCGTGTGTGTGTGTGTGTGTGTGTGTGCGCGTGCGCGTGTGCGCGTGCACACACACACACACAGGCACACACACACAAGCGCGCGCACACATGTGCACTGAGAACTGAATCCAGGTTCTCATGCATGTAAGGAAAGCCTTCTACCATTCAGTCCCAGGCCCAGTTTCTTCATTAATATTCATGGCAGCCCCAACTGGTTGTAATTTCCATTTTCTCCATAGCAGACCAGGTCTTGGGAGAGGGAGTAATTTGCTCAAGGTCCTAATTCTTGAGTCCATGTTTGCCTGACTCCAAAGTGCCAGTTCCTTCCATCACTGGGGATGGGCTTTGCGTTTTCCTGCTGTCTGAGGGTCAGGATGGGAGCTCTCAGCTACTTCTCCAGAACCACGCCTGCCTGCCTGCCTGCCTGCCTGGCACCACATGCCCTGCCATGACGCTATGGACTCACCCTCTAAAACGATAAACATGACCCCAATGAAATGTTTTCTCTCAGACGTTGTCTGGTCACGGTGTTTCCTCACAGCCGGAGAAGAGTAACTAAGACACTAGTCAATCATGGATGTCCCTGTTGGGTCAACTGGACTCTAGAATCCCACGCAGCTAACCTCACACTGTCCTCAGCCATTTCCCACTTACGCCAACAGGGTCTAGGCTGGCTGGACGCTGTGCTGGGAACACAGGTTCACTCAGCCTAACCAGTCGCCAGAGGATACTGGGTATCTTGAGGATTATCTTCTGTGGAGCAGGCCACTCTTCTACACTGGCCACTGAGAGGACTAACAGTGCAGAAAGCCATGAGGACTTATGCTCTGTAGTGAGAGGTGTGTGAGCATAAGGGGAATGGTTATAATTTACAAAGAGCACACAGCAGTGAGGGAACCTTCCAGACGAGGCCCCAAAACCACATGCAGCAAAAACAAACCAAAACAAAACAACAACAAAAGAAGAGATAAAGTGTGATAACATCAATATTAAAACAAAACTTTTGTGCTCCAAAGAACAGTATCACATCAATATTAAAACAAAACAAAACTTTTGTGCTCCAAAGAACAGTATCAAGAGAGTGAAGATGAGGACTGGGATGTAGTTCAGTGGTAGAGCATTTGTCTAGCATACATACGATACTGGATTCCACCTAATACAGACGGACAGACGGATGGACGGATGGGTGGATGGATGGACAGAACCTGAAAAGGGAGTAAAGCAGACCCAAAGAGTGAGAGAAAATGTTTGTAAATTGCATGTTTGATAATGGACTTATTTACAGGGTTACAAAAAAAAAAGAAAAAAAAAAAAAAAAGGACTAACCACCCAGTAGAACACAGAGCTTGAAAAGACAGGTCTCCAAAGAGTCACATACAGATAGATGGTCAAGAACCGCAAGAAAAGACACTCGGCACCACATGTCCTTAGGGAAATGTGCAAAGCCAAACACAGAGACGTGTCTCACACCTGCCGGGCTAGCTGTCACAGACTCACAGTAGAATCCGGTGGTGGGATGAGGGTGTGCGCCTGCGGGGGGGGCCCCCCCCCCCCCCCCCCCCCCCCGCCACCTCGCCGCACTGAGGCACTTCTTCCTGCAGGAGGTTCATAGCACTCTTCAAACTCAAGAAACAAGACTCAAGACACTCAAGAGAGCAGAGTGGAGGGTATGTAAGTCACATGAAGGCTGTCAATGAGAGCAGGAGAGGAGACTTTTCAGTGTAAGCTGTCTGCGAGAGCGCACAAGCTTTCGAGAGTCAGCCATGCTCGGGTGGGAATTTTTAGTGATGCAGCTGACCTTGAGTCAGCCATGTTCCTGTAAGTAATTCCAACAAACTCATTGGTTCATCAAGCAGGACTTGAGGACTTGGATGATGAAATCAGTTCTTTGGTCTGTTGTTGCTCTCTTTATCCAGGGTGAATGGAAAGAGACTCTAGGGAAAATCGTGTAGTCTCCTCAAAAGGTTAGCGTCACCGTGAGACCCAGCAGCTGCATTAGGTGTGAGGCCAAGGGAACTGCAGACACACGTGCTTCCTGCAGCTTAGCATTCCCCACAACCAGCAAGAGCCCAATGTCCATCCTCTGGGAAAGGCGTAAACAGACTGTGGTGCATCCAAATGAATAGTACTCAGCCACAAGTGAACAGAGGACCAGTGCAGGCACAGATGGGCGAACCCTGACAGCAGATGCTAGAGGGAGGAAGCCAACTGCAAA